TTGCTGCTTTTTACTGTTTTTATGGAGCTGTCTATGCAATGTCCCTGCATGCTATATTGATGCCTAGTTTCGCTGCGCTGAATACCTCAGCACGTCACGTGAAGGTTCAGTCCATACGTAAGAAGATGTCATGACTTAATCAGGAAGTCTCAAAAAATACTCGTGACAGTTGATTTATTTTAGAGATTGGAGAAAAAAAGGAGTGTTAGTTGGAGTTTTTATAGCTTTTTTTGGTGAGTTTCCAGCCTGCTGCCTTGTTTCTTGTAAGATGGTTGTTTCTCACCATTGCGGTGTTAACCTGTAAGATACCTCCTTAATGTTTTCTGTGATAAAAAGGAATGATTTGTAGATGGTGAAGGAATGTTAGTTTAAATATTGTTGAATTTTGTCTGGCATATCAAAGATAAATTAAAACGGAAGAAAGTATTAGGAAAGTGAGTAACTTAAACAGCATTTAAATGGCTTATTTAAGTAACTGAATTATAGATTAGTTTCATAAACATTTAGCTTGACAACTTATTTTCCAGTTAAATAGTGTGAGAGAGAGGAAATGTCTTTCAATAAAATATGAATTTAAAACTCTTATGCCCCATATTTTCTTAGCTCAGTTTGCATCTTCTTCCCAAGAAACATGCTGCCTATCCCTAGCGTTTAAAGGAAAAATAAGTTTTGAAATTTGTTATCTAATGCCTAGTTCAGCTGAATTGCAGCATCACAATTATCTTGAACTATGGCATGTACTTGGTATCACTTCTGCAGAATAAGATATGGCTGTGCTGATGATACTTTTCTTTGTTGGCTTTGTCCTACTGTTTCTAAATTACATCTCTTTGAAGAGCTTCTCTCTTTCTCTCTCTCTCTCTCTCTCTCTCTCTCTTTTTTTTTCCCATAAGACTTGTCAAAAATCCAGCACACACCTGAGAAGTTTGAGGTTATAGGGTTTAGGGATTGCCATGAATTGTGGCTCCATCTGAATCTTTCTTCAGACAGGCTTTTTAGTGTTGTTAAATATATTTAATTTTGTTAAAGTCTGTCATTTCTACATTGAGGTCAGTACGGCAAATCTTTATTTTTATCTTTGTTTTGTTCTTTTTTTTTCCAGGAGATGTTAAATCTCTACGTTCTGTCATCAACCCTCACATATCCAGGTAAGTAATGCTAACTTATTTTTCCTATGTAACAGACGCTCCAGGTAATTGATCTGGCAAAATGTCAAGGGTATTGCAGTGCGCATCTTCTGTTCTAAATTACAGTTAGCGTTTCCTTTCTTCTACCTTTCTGACACTTCAATACAGAACAGTTGTTAACGTTGGAGTTAGTCTCAGGCTTGTAAAATGGGAGTCTTCTGTTTACATCATCAGAACCAGAATTGCCCTCTTAGAGAGAAGATTGAAATCCATGACAGTCATTGAGAGCTGAGTGTCGGGGGAGGAAATGTCTTGGCAACCAGAGCATCACGATGGGCAAAGCTGTACTTCATGTTCCTGGGAGAGCCTTGTTAGACGAGGGCCTGAACATTGAGGAGGAGGTGGTTAGGGACTGAGCTGTCAGAGGAAGGGTGTGGGGATGAAATTCCCTTGGAAGACCGCCTCTGTCCGATAAGCTAATTAGGCTAGGAATAATGGTGAGTGCGGGGGCTGGTCACGAGGCCTTTGCCTATGATGTGCAGAGGCGGTAAAGCAACGTTGGGAGCCTCTCGGCAAGGCGCTTGGGAAAAAAGAGACTGGGCTGAACAGAATCAAGGTCAGCTCTGTGGGGGCTTGGGTGCTAGGTCTGGGGTGCAAAAGGAGGTGTGCGAAACTGATTGTTTCAGTCGTCGTTGAGGCAGACCAGAGGGTGGAGGGGCTGTTTCTGTGTGGGGCAGATGGGTGCAGAGTGAGGCCAAACTATTACAGAAGTGAAGTATGGAAGCCTGTTCCAAAAGTCTGAACATTACCAATTTAGAGAGAATCCACCATTTCAATACTGTTGTACCTCAGTATCAGAACATTAACTGTATCAGTTATGCAGCAGAGGAGAAATCTTACTCATCTGATGTGCTGTTCTCAGTGAATATGAATGATTTATTCAGATAACAAAATCACGGAATAAAAAGTTAACGACAGTAAAGGAAATGCGTTTGCGTTGTGCAGAATCCGTAACATTGGCATCATGGCCCACATTGATGCAGGGAAAACTACAACGACGGAGAGAATGCTGTATTATTCTGGATACATAAGAACACTTGGAGGTTAGAACTACTTTTTGTATTCCACTAGCTTTGAGAGATTTAACAGTAATATGCAATAATACACAATGTAGTTAGAGGCAGCTCTTAGAATATTTTGCGTAGAAGCCAATTGTTTCAAAGTTGTGCTGCAGGATATTGAAAGTGTAATGCACTTTCCATTGTAGTCTAAGGCGGTTGCACCTCTAGAGACAACAGACTTTTTTTTTTTTTAATTTTAACGCATTATGATTCGTTTAACTCTTAATTAGAGGTTCTCCTGCTTTTATGTATTGTTCATTGGCTATTCTGGCAGAACTGTTTCTCCTGTTCCCTTTTGAAATGTAAAGAAACCAGATTAACAGAAAGTGGCCATTTATTTTGAAAGCTGCAACCCAGAGAAGAATTCCTTGCTAAAACAACTCTCGCAGATCTTTGTAAATGCCATCAGAAGGAGCGAGACTGAGGTGGACTCCATTAATTATTGGCATGGAGAAAATGATAGAATTTAGTTCCTCTGCAGTCTCTCCAGCCCTTGAAAGAGTTCAGTATCAGGATAGACTCAAGATTTGAAAGGGTCGCTCCATTTGTGCTACCTTTCGACCTTTTAAGTTGAGCTCCGTGTTCTCTACTGCGTATGGGAATGTTAGACGACATTGGGCCTGTGGAGTGGTTGAACTTGGTGGCTTAGTCGTTTGGAAATGTGGGACTGCTTCCCTTCTTATTAAGGGGGAAAAAAAAAGACTCTCACTTAACTTTAACTAACTGTAGCGTTAATTTAACTTAATTAACTTTTAACTTTTAACACATCAGATTCCATACAGTAAATGCAGCTAGGTTTTTTTTTTTAACAGTGTAGGTTGTTCAGAATTTGGGGTTTTGTTTTAATTTTTAAGTTTCTCACAGTGTTACTTCAATTAAAAAGAACAAAAAAGGTTGTTTGAAGTGCTTGTCTTTACGGAGCATTTCTTGTCAAGAAATGGAATCTAGATAAATTACCTGATGCTGTCTTTCTCTGAGTAAGTGATAGTTTTCATAGCTTATACATATACAAAAGGGACAGTATTTTCAAATCTCCCCCATCATCTTTGTTCCAAGACAAGTTCATCTTTTGAATTATTTATTTACTCAACTGTTATCCTAATTTCTGTTCACAGATGTTGATGATGGGGACACAGTGACAGATTTCATGGTACAAGAGCGAGAACGTGGTATTACTATTCAGTCTGCTGCTGTTACTTTTGACTGGAAAGACTATAGAATCAATCTGATTGACACCCCAGGTACTGCATTTTAGGAGTACTCTTGTTATTAGGAGAGAGGAGAGGAGGTGAGGTGATGTAGAACGTAAGCTTTGGTTTTAAAATATGGTGTGATATTTAATTGGTTGAATTGCTGCAATAAATAAGCCTACTGAGCTTTGTTCACTTTTGACTAATTGTTTCCTGGTGCCTAAAGCAAGCTTATTTCTCAAATATTTCCACACTACATTGCTTTCAGTTCTGGGACTGCAATGTAACTATGCTTTGTGTTTCAAAGATTGCTGAGCGTGTTTCTCTGACAGTAAAGACAGAGTTGTTTTTGGCATGGTAATTAAAAAAAAAAAAAAAAAAAAAAAAAAGAATACAAAAATATATTGATGTTGCCTGTTTGATTTATGACAGTGCAAAATGAAAGTTGTTTTTCAGGTCATGTGGACTTTACAGTGGAAGTTGAGCGTTGCTTGAGAGTCCTGGATGGAGCAGTAGCTGTGTTTGATGCTTCAGCTGGTGTTGAGGTAAAAACGACTGGTAGAATTTCTTGCGTCTAATGACTTAAAAAACACTGAAATAACAATGATATGGAGGGGTTGCTCTGCATTATCTCTGTTCATGCTTTGATCAAAATTTGCCTGAGGTCAGAAGCTGAGCATTTGATTTTAAGTCCTGTGAGGTACAGAAATTTCCACAGAATAAGGGGCAAATAAGTGGTGTTCCTGTTAAGTACGGGAGCCTAATGTGTGTGGGAGGGTTGTGTGTGTTCTGGTTTTTTTTTTTTTTTTTTCGTTACAGATTTAGAGTGAGGTGAATACTTCTGATTAGCTCCACTAGTGGAAAGAAATTAAATCTGTTCACTTCTTACTATCAGATTTCATGCAGAAAATGAATCATTTTCAGCCAGAGTTTCTCCCTTCCCACTGATGTATGTTTAGTACATTCTTTTGGGCATCTTGTAGAAAAGGTGGAGGCAGGCTGAAATTTTAGTTTGTAGCATGAGACGCTCAAGTAGTTCTGGAGAAAAGTTACATGTTTCGAAAGCACAGTGTTCCACAGCATGTCCTTTGCTGTGTAGAAAGGGTGAGAGAACTGTTGATCGGTGTTACTTGCGTTGTTTAACGAGCAACATGATATCTCACATTATGGAGTCTATGGTTCAACTGCCAGCACTAATGTTTTTCTTTTGCTTTAGGCCCAAACTCTGACAGTGTGGAGACAAGCAGACAAGCATCAGATACCACGAATTTGCTTTTTAAACAAGATGGACAAAAATGGAGCAAGGTATTGCTTTAATCGTTGTTGAAGACCTTGTAAGATAATGTGTCTAATCAAATTAAGGTATATTCTCTTAAGCAGAGAGTGAGCAAATTACGTTAATGCTTAGTATATGGTGATAATACAGATGCATATTTTTGTGTAGCTAGGGGAGTAATTTTTGCTGTGAATACAAACGGTAAACCTAGTTGACTGTATCATTACATTTTGGGTAACTTTCCATATCTATTGTTTTAATACAGTTTTACATATGCTGTTGAGAGCATCAGACAAAAGTTGAAGACAAAACCTTTGCTTTTACAGGTAAACTTTGAAATTATGCTTATCTGCTTTTCTTTTGAATGGAACTCCTTTCTTAATATACAGTAATTGTCTAAAATTTCTGTTCTCTTTGCAGTGGCCCATTGGGGAAGCCAAGACCTTCAGAGGACTGGTTGATGTTGTGACTAAAGAACGAATTATTTGGAAATCTCCTTCTGGTTTGGATGACGGAAAAAATTTTGAGCAAAAGCCACTGCTGGAGGCTGATGATCCCAACTTGTTCCAAGATGTCCAGGATGCCAGAAATACCTTAATAGAACAAGTAAAGTTCTAAAGTAAATATATTATGTATTTAAAGTTATTATTTAGAATTGTAGGAAAAATAGGCTGGAAGGGACCTCTGGAGGTGTCTAGTCCAATGTCCTGCTCAAAGTGGGTCTAATTTCAAAAGTAGACTAGGTTGCTCAGTTCCTTGTCCGGTCAAGTTTTCAAAGTCTCCAAGGATGGAGATTCTACAGCCTCTCTGGGCAGCGAGTCCAAGTGTTTGACTACCATCATGGTGAACCGTTTTTTCCAACAGGAATTTCCCACGTTGCAATCTGTGATAGTTCCTCTTATCCTTCTCTTGTGCTACTCTGAAAAGAATCTGGCTCCGTTTTCTCTGAAACAGGTTCACTACCACTTCTTCAGATATTAGAAGACAGCACTTACATCCTCCCTTAGCCTTCTCTTCTCCAGGCTGGACAAATGCATCCCTCTTGGCCTCCAGCTGAGCTCCCGCATACTCACCATTTTAGCGGCTTTCCACTGTCCAGTCTCTTTTATTTCTCTTTCCACAGTTTGTCAGTCTCTTTTGTGCTGGGGAATCTAAAACCAAACTCAGTATTCTGCTCTACTCACATGTGCTGAGTACAGGGCACTAATCGTTTCCCTCATCTGTGGGCTATGTTCTTGCTAATACAGCCCAGCATGCAGTTAACTTTCATCACTGCAAGGAGACGCTGCTGACTCATGTCCACTTGTCCACCAGACCTTTGGTCGTCTTCTGCAGAGTTGTTTCCTAGCCAGCTGATCCCCAATCTATACCGATCCGCAGATTTGTTTTGTCCCAGGTACAACATTCTGTGTATGTCCTTGTAGAACTAATTTCAGATTTCCTTCACTTACTTTCCATCTGTCAAGGACACTTAATGCACATTATAAACCTTAATGCATAGTGGCAAAATTTGCTATTTTGTGCAGTGTTGGACTGCCTGGCTGCACAATAAGTGTGTAAAATAGGAAGTGTTCCCCATGTTATAAATAGTGAACCGGAAGAATACAAACAGGCACTAAATTTATCATTCATTTGGTTAACGTGGCATCTTACACAGTGTTAGAGGCCAGAATACACTTGAGACATTCACGTGAGACCTGGCAGATCTGACCCAGGAACTACAGGATGTGCTTGCCTTTCCGAAGTGGCAGCTAGGAGCCGAATGGAGGGCCCCAGCTGTTGAAAATGGCATTAAATGTTGTGTTACAGGCAGCTGAATGCCACCAAAAACCTTGTTCCAGCTTCATCCAAAAAATCTGTGGGAGAGATGAGACTAGAACAACGTAAATATTTCTTTCACATAGATTGACATACTGTGGAGCTCAGAAAGCGTAATGGAAGCCTAATCTAGGTCTAGAGCCTTAATGAAATTTGCAGAGTTAAGTTTAGAAGGAGTGAAGAGTGAAAGAACAATAGAATAAGTTGCCTGTTGAGCAGGGCAGAACGTTTGAAGTAGTCTGTCCAGATTGTTTTTTCTTCTCTCCTCAGCTTGCTTTTTAACATCTTGCACTACTTTGACTAATTTAGATAACGATATTGCAAAAGTTGGTTTTACTTGAGTGGTTTTAAGCAAGTCTCCTCTCCAAGTAAAATTTTTTTTTTTTTTTGCGTTCTTTGCTTTCATGTTACTTGTAAGAGTGTAAGCATGTGGAGGACAAGAAGGTGATCCGGAGTAGTCAGCATGGATTCACCGAAGAAAAATCATGCTTAACCAACCTCATAGCCTTCTGTGATGGGACAGCTGGCTGGATAGATTCAGGGAGAGCAGTGGATGTCATCTACCAGGACTTTAGTAAAGCTTTTGACCCTGTCTCCCATCACATCCTCATAGGCAAGCTCAGGAAGTGCGGGCTGGATGAGTGGACAGCGAGGTGGATTGAGAACTGGCTGGATGGCAGAGCTCAGAGGGTTGTGGTCAGTGGCACAGAGCCTAGTTGGAGGCCTGGAGCCTAGCGGTGTCCCCCAGGGGTCAGTCCTGGGTCCAGTCTTGTTCAATGTATTCATCGATAACCTAGATGAAGGGACGGAGTGCACCCTCAGCAAGTTTGCTGATGATACAAAACTGGGGGGAGTGGCTGACA